AATTGAGCAAAATCTTCCAGAAAAACACAACTCTAAAAACATATTAAAGAGTTATATTAACAGATCCTGCTTCACGTCGTAAAACCCGATTCCATCAGACGAGTTGGCAGTAGCCATGAGTGGAATAAAGCCAAAGTATCCGTGCCAGTTTCAAACTCAAAATTAGTCAAACTTCAGTTTGAGACTGAAATTGGATTTTAATGGTACATAAACTTTTATTTCTCTTTGAAGAAGGACCTCATAATTTTTTTCCCGTTTAAAATGCAGGCAGTTATTTACAAAATCAACAAAAGACTAAGCCAGTATTATAATATAATCTTAGGTTAACAATAAAATATTGTTCAGATAGAGAGAAAAAAATGGAAATATAATTAGAGTTTGCTTCTTTTAAGTCACTTCAAGGTTGTTGATAGCCTTCCTGATTTGTGATCGTTATTCATATCATTATATCCGTATAATATTAGCTTTCTCCACCTCATCTATTACTGTAGTCTTCATTTGCGCTCTTATCATTAAGATCTAAACGGAATTGTAATGCGGGGGAAAATTAGGCGACGTGAATCATCTCCCTCAGGTTTCATTCCCATGGTTACGAGACAAGCAGAGCAGGAGAAATTTCCTATTTTAAATAGCAACAGACTACAGTAGTATTCTGTAAATACGAAACTTATGAAAACTTTGCGAATGTCACTTATGAAAAGCTTATTGGATTAATATCTCGTAAATTTCACACATCTCGATATAAATACAATTAAGGCAAGGTTTCTACTGTGTGGGCAACATCAAAATAAAATTCTCAGTTTAAGAGCTAAACTTCAGAAAGGCGGTGTTTAAATGCATAACACATGGTAACAACATCGTCGTAAGTCTGATGTGATAAATATGCAAAACGCGAAATCGTGAAACAGCTGGAACTTGCAACAATGATTGATTAATTGATTTAATGTGACTACAGCAAAACCTTGAGCGCTGTCTGCCCCTGGTGGAAGACTTTCTGAGGGAAACTGGATCGTATACACGTTACACATGGGGAAAAACACTAAAACGTTCATGCAGCCAGCCCGTTAGCAGGATTCGAACCTCGGATTGAACTACCAGTGTTCAGCGACTTTACAGCTCGTCCACTGGTAGGCCCTGTGCATAAATGAGTATTAATGTTAACAAAATAAATCGACTCATGTAATCAATAAAACAGTTCACTGTATACAATGTTTAAGGTGAAAACATTGCCAAAACGTTTATCAGCATTGATTACTGAGTGCGTCCACGCCACATCTATTTTTTTTCTTTGTTTTTTCTAATATAAGATACTTTAGTTCGGACGTAAATGACTTTCGAGTTTACTATCCTTAATTCGTTTGTTTTACTTAATTTTTGGATAAAATCACTCAGACATTTAAGTTGACATGATAACATTTTCTAGAATCCGATGTAAATTTCAGGTTTCAGTATTATTAAATTTAATTTAATAAAATAGAGGATAGAATTTTATCTATTTGATTGCAAATGACCTACAGGGCTTGATTTTGTACACAGTCGTAAAATAATTCATTTCAATTTAATTTAGTAAACTGCATTTAATTTAAGAACAAATAAATCCAATAATATATTTTAATATACGAGTATATGTATTAAATCGAGAATTATAAGTTACCTGAAATGAATTATCAAACACTTCTAGAAGAATTGCAAAAGTGTTTCATTTAAGGAAAACGTTTAAAGTTTATGTTTCTTTTACATGTCTAACGATGCTTTGCAAAATTAACTGAAAGTAAATTATCTTCGCGAGGAATAGCAATCTTATGCGCTTTGAACGCTAAGAGTTTTATACGCTAAGAACAGTAGTATCCATTAAAATTATAAATCATAAATGATAATTGGCTTGCTACATCATTATTCTTTGGAAACTTAGTTTACTTATTCGAAATCTTAACGAAGAAATTTGTTTTTAGATCTTTGGGACGCCAACCGGTGAGAGAAAAAAAAATTCTGAACCGCCAGCTCCGAATACAGAGGGAAATTAAAGAAAAAATTCAAGCTAAACAAGAAAGATACGATAATATTTACAATCAGCATATTACAACTAAATACCTGGTAAATACTTGCTTATATCTGTTTTACTATAAACTCATAAAATTTGAAGCAACAGCATGGGGAAGGGCAAAATCCCACTATCAGTTAATCTAAAAAATAAACATTTTATTACACATTTTTAAGGCCTTTTTTTAAAAAACTTATAATAAAATAAAATACTTTATTCACAGTTTACTTTATATGTCTTTTATAAAACACTTATTAAAGAACACCACTAATTTTGATGATGAATTGGAAGACCTTTTTCTCCAAAGCTGTCTTCTTCTCGGACTCTAGATCTGTGTTTCAGGTTCTTGTCAACAAGAGAACTCAAAATGCATAAATGAATTCAGACATCTTTTGATTAATCTTACTGAATGATTTGTACCATAGTGGGTACCAACATATCGTCGAGTATAGGCAAATGAATGTGTAAATGTCCTGGTAAAGGAGGGTAAGTTGTTCTTTCAAAAATCAGAAATCTTATGAACTTTCTTTCTGGTAAAAGAGAAATAAATACGGAATTTAGGAAGACCCTTAGCTAAAGATTCTGCATGAAAGCTAAAATCGTGGCTCAGGAATATCGCCTAGAGGAAAGTTGTAGTATTTCTGACTCACTTCGTGCTACAGCTGCGGCTACATTTCTTCTTTTGACTGGATGCAATTGCCTCAGTCTTATCTCTTTTATATTAGACTTCCCCATGTGTAACGTGTATACGAGCCAGTTTCCCTTAGAAAGTCCTCCACGAAGGTATCCCTCCTCTTAGGCAGATAGCCCTCGAGGCTTTGCCATAATTACACACACACACTTTTATATTAGACACAAGAATGTTTAGTAGCTTCAGGATAAATGCATAGTGTATTTATGTAAACCTTTCCTTCTTCTAAGCAGACCCACAGAAAACATTCTGCGGCTGTTAACTGGCGATCGCGAAGGTCAATTTATGGCACGTTTGCTTGGGTTATGTTTTCTTTAAGGTGTTTGGATTAATGTGACCAATTCAGCTAGCTCTATGGAATCTAATTGTAAAGTGCCACTAACTTCCTATTCCGACTTATGGAAATGGAGAGAATACGTGCATGCATGCAGGCTAAGACTTTATATGATTTAACATTAAATAATTAATGAGGCTCTTCTTGAGTACTGTAAGTAAAAATATAATAGTCTACTTGAGAAATTAAAACTCACATTTCAAAGATAATCCTTCGAGAAACCACAATTCTTCACTTTTTAATCAAGTTAGCCCTAAAATCATTAGCTTGCGGATTTGGACAGGACCTTTTTCGTCGTCATGTACTTCAGCATGAATAATAAACATCTACAGCTTCCATTGGTTCCATTCTTATAATCTGCCATGACTGTGACCAGACTCGGCTGCCATTCTTCAGGTAGTCACCAACTCGGGCAGGAATAGATATGCAATAAAAGACAACTGAAGGCTACATATCGACTGACCGACTACCGATTCCAGTTAGCTGCTTACCATTTTAAGGCCAAAACGCCGGAGATGGCCTTTCATTCAACAATGGCAACCGCCCGAAATGGCCAAAATTGCGATGTTAATTTCTTCCCTTTCCCTAAGGTGTGCAGTAGCAGGTGCAGTTTCCCGAAATGCATTGTACCAGTTCATTGCAGACAACTAGGCCTAAAAGGCTAATGAAAGATTCTTTGTTAGGAAGTAGAAAGAATGTCGTTGGAATCTTCAAACCTCTTTGTGTGGTAATGGATGAGGAGGGGAGGAAACGGACGGGACGAGTAATGGATCGGGACGTGCGTTTCACTATTTCAAGCATCCAGGTTTAGCGAAAGTTTCGGTTTCCTAAGGGTTAAATTCCTATGATCTTTTTAACACTTTGCAGGCCGCGCATTTCGAATCGCCGTTACGCTGCCGCCGGTTCACGCAGGTTCTACTGCTCGCCAACGGTGATATTTACGCAATTTTTCGTTGGTATATAATTATTATTAAAGAAAGCACTAAAATAAGTGTTACAGTAATTTTATTCCAATTATATTTTTTAATTAGTACTAAATCGTTTTATTTAAAAACTTTAACTCCTAGGATCCATAGTATGATAATTCTGAAAACATTTTCCAACATGCAGAGAAACGTTGCAGGAAGAAGACATGTATGCAGTGGAACTTCTTTTCTTGGCTGCAGCGCAGACTTTACAGGCGCTTCGCGAGTTTTGAATTCTCCCATTACCACTAATACGCGTTATTCTATGTTTACTCATGTCCGTAGTAAGTCTGCCTGGTGGATCAAACCTCGGCTATCTTTTATCACATTCAGCAGCCAATCTTGATTGTTGCTCCTCTTCATTCCCATTAATACGTGCTAGTGCAAGGTTTAGTAAAAATTGTTTGAATCTAATAGGATTTTCAGAATTTTTGATGTATATCTGGAACGCGTTGAGTAATGCACAGTTTATGAGATATAAAACCGTTTTTTTTTGGTCCATTTTTTTTGTTTTGCGAAGTATGGAATAACACGATAGGTATTGATCGGTGGGATCAATACCTTTCATAAATTTATTATACTCTTGTATGCAAATTGTTTTAATGTACTTCTTTTTGGTTCTTTTACTCACACATTCCATCATGTCTGATGAATGTATCCTAGAAATCATCATTATCAATTTTTGGCCGCATTCCATTTTTGTATCATAATTTTCCCATTTCTCCGAAATTCCATTGACTTATGTAGCAGATTTTAAACAATTTGGCACTCCTCTGTTTACTCTAATTGTGGCATAGATGTTTGTTTTATGCTTTAGTAACTCCTCTGCAATCTTTACACTATTGTGATAGTTGTTCTACATCGTGCCATAAATTTAAATATGGCGATAGCACGGACAATATTGTCGCAATTAGCGATTATCCTTGCGCGCAATATATTTCTAAATTGCATATATAACCAGATGTCGCCTCACCCACCATACGGACTAAAATTCCATGCAGGATTATATGTACGAAAAGATAGCCTGCCCCTCCATGGAATAATACCTTCATCCAGCGATAATTCTTTCTCGAGTTCATAAATGTTTTGAAACTTCTCTACCACGTACGAGTAAACTGGTTTTATTTTATCAAGCCTTTCTTGGCAATGCTCACTATTACTGAAGTGCCAATACTTCCATAACTGCCAAAACCCGTTCTTTGGCATAGTATTCCGAAAAATAGGTGTATGTAATTCAGGGTGAGTAGACCAATAATCGTCTTGTTCTGGTTTTCTTACTCTTCCCATTAGGATAACAAGACCCAAAAGTTTTTTCATTTCTACACCATTTGTTTCAATCCAAGTTTTATTCTTTGTTGATGCATTGTTGTTATCATTATTCTGCTGATTATGATATAACTTTGTTTGTGTGACAAACACATTAAATAAATCGTCCCCAATGAACAATTCCACAGTTGATAATATATCTGGCTGTATAGTACCTGTAACCCAAACCGTTTCAGGCAAGCATGAAAGTTAGGTTTAAAATCAACTTCTGACCAATCATTTGCCACAGAATTCTCTTCATCACTTTCAGATTCACTAATTATTGGTCTTTCCTTATTTTTGAATCGTCTCACAATTATATCACTCCCACTGTCCGAATCACTTTCACTATCAAAGCAATTATCCTCTTCTGATAACAGATCAGCATATATTTCCTCATCGAAGAGCATTTTGAAGGATATCTTTAAATCTAACGTAAGTTTCCGAAATTTGAAGGCAGCGAAAGACAGTCTCAAACTAACAAAACAAAAGTCTACGAAAAAAGATTTAGCTTTAGTGTAGAATTGGGTGCCCCTTCGATTGGCGACATTCTTAAGACAATTTTGGCGATGAACCTCACTTCTAGTTACCACGATAGTTTTAACTTTGTTTTTAGCTTCCCGATTTTATTTAAATGAAAATAGATTGATGTGTACATGGACATATTTAAGGCAGTGCGCAATGCCTAGTTTCTGCAATTCTAGGATGTTTTTTTAAGTAAAAACAGATCGATGTGTACATGGACACAGATCTTATGCAATTCTTCGACTTCTTAATTCGGTTTAGTGTAGCGGCCATCTTGAAATTGTGACTTCCTGGCGCCGAACTTGGCGTCAAAAAAGAATCGCCAATAAACAAGGGGCACCCAATTGTAAACTTTTACCAAAGATTTCAATAACAGACAGTCTGGTGAATTGGGAGAGGAAATCAGTTTAAACCAATGTTTCCTGATCTTCAAATGTTTTGCTATAGTATGTCTATCTATACAAACGTCGATGTGAAGCATCGTCATTGGCGAAAATAACTGACGCGTACGTGACAGCGGCCGATAACTGTTGGCGAGCAAAAGTCACGCCAGTGTGACAGCGGCTCACAAAGTGTTAAAAATCTGCGTAAACCTCTGGAGGAAACGAGCTCGTGACTAAGTTCGTAGTGATAGAATAATATGCAAATTATCGCTAGTTGTCAGGAAATCGAAAGTCAGGAAATTATGCGATTGCCAAACCTTTTCTTCTTCATAGTTTTTATTTGCCGTTAAACTAATCCTTACCAATATTGACTACAACCAGTATTAGAGCACTAAATTTGTTCTGCGTATGCTTGTTGCGTCAAGTAATAGAAGACTGATTTTTAAAGTAAAACTAAATAATTTTTCGTCGTATGTTTATGATGAATTTTTCCATTCTAAAACATGTTGGCTATACAATCAAAAACACTACAACATAAAACAGGAAATTACTTAAACGATCCGCCAATTATGGATTGCTGTTTATATTAACATAATGTATACTAACCTATGTAATTGTTCAGTTCATCCAATTAGAAATAAGAATACTTTTCCACGGTTTCACAAAAATTAAGCGATTCCCAAAGAGTTTCAATGGAGCGATGTTGCATATTAATTCTTACGTTTTAATAGAGCGGTGTAACATTTTATAACAAAAGGGATATAAAGCTGGTAACTATTTTTATACTAAGCGGAAGAACAACTTTAATTATTATATTTATAAAGCATAAAATCGAATTAATTCAAACATAGCAACAGGAAATAAAAATATTTGATACTTTGTTCAAATGCATTTAATCTGTTTAAAACCTAGAAATGAATCATTTTCAAGAAATGCTTCGCTTGGATGGCAATATTCCAGTGCTGATACATTGTACGATATTCATTTTTACCATTTCAAACAATCAATTTCTATAGTTTAAGTTAAAGTACAAAAACACGTATTGGTGATGACTAAAAGAGTTCATCAGTAATGTTAAAAGATAATATATATGTATGAATAATTTCTTTAATCAGAATGCAACGGAGAGAAAACAAATGCCCAAACTATGTCTTCCAGATATTTGAATTTTATTTTTCTCTTTTCATTAGACAGGAAGTATTAAGCGGAAATTAGAATTAGAGATGGCTAAAAAGGACATGGAAATTCTGGAGAAGTTGTGCCGACGAAAAGAAGGCGAGAGATTGGAAATCAAGAAAAAAGTAATTAATTATGATGTAATACGATTCGAAAAGTTAGACACTGCAAACACTTTTGCATTTATTTGTAAGTAAAGTTGCATCAAACAAGAAATTATTTAGAAAATTTAGTTTACTGAACAAAATTAAAAATCTAATTATTTGGAAAATATTTATTGAAGTCGTTAGATAAACTTTAAATTTTCTTTAATTTGAAATAGTTAAATTGAAGAAACGTGAGATATTGATTTCTCGCTTCTTAAGTATGGATGCTTGTTCAAATATTCAAAAGAGCATCTAGTGCCAAAGTGGTTCAAGTACAATTTTGCGTGACTTCTTGTAAGATCTATGGAAGTTATATCTGCTAAGTAATGACACAGGAACTATAAAATCAAACGCATAATAACGCATGTAATAACTTTTACACTGCATTAATATGCAATAATATTTACTATGCTCTTTCTATGCTTGAAGAAAGCAGGTGTCTTAGAACAGATTTAGCAGCTTTTACATTAATTACATCAATTGTTATAAACATCACAGCATTTATGTGCAATAAGTTTCACTCTGCTATTTCTAAGCTTGAAGAAGGCAAGTGTCTTCATTAATTACTTTTTAGATAGAAGATTTAGCTTTTTTACATTAATTACGTTAATTCTTATAAACATCACTGCATTAATGTGTAAGAATGTTTACTATGCTGTTTCTATGATTGAAGAAGTTAGTACTCTTAGAGCAGATTTAGCTTTTATACATTAATTACATTGATTCTTATAAACATCACATCATTAATTTTTACTATGCTGTTTCTATGCTTGAAGAAGGCAGGTGTCTTGGAGCAGATTTAGCTTTTTTTTACATTTTTACTATGCTAATTATACGCTTGGATTAGCAGAGTAAAACTTATTGCACATTAATGCAGCGATTGAAGAAGGCAGGTGTTTTGGAGCATATTTAGCATTTTACATTAATTAAGTTGATTCTTATAAACATCACTGCATTAACGTGCAATAATGCTAATTCTATGCTTGAAGAAGGTAGGTGTCTTAGAGCAAATTTAGCTTTTTTAGATTAATTACAATGATTCTTATAAACATCTAAATATTTGATATTATTATATTATCAGCAAAAACTATTTTCTTTAAGGCCAGGACGAATCTTGAAAAGGTATAATATTCAAGAACTTAAACCTTTGTTCATTTTTTTAACGCTAATTTTAATTTTACTCGTTATGTTCATTTTGTTTGAATCTAACCTAAAAACCAGTAAATGTTTTAGCTCAAACCTATGAAAGTTATCGGTAGGTGCATTCATTAAGAAAGTACCGTGATTGCTGCTAATTCAGTGAATATGGTTGACCGTGTTGACGAAGCACATATACTCTGTGATTCCAGACGCACAGTACGATTTATTTCGAATTACAATCTTTTTTACGTACTGCTAATGAATGTGCATTGGTCTTGTGCTCCTGGTAAAGCGTTAGAGGGCTATCTGCCTAATGGAAGGGATGCTTTCGGGAAGAACTTATTAAGGGAAACTGGCTCGTATACACGACACACATGGAGTTATACTACGATAAATGACCAAGCTAGCCTATTAAGTGGGTTCAAACCTCGGACCGAACTGCCAGCGTTCAGCGACTTTATCGCTCGGCCGTTGGTGGGAACACCTGTACGTAAGATGTTGTTGCCCGTGATGGAATACTTTTTTTTTTCTTTACAATGGCAGATTGTGAACAATTACATATATAACGCAGTCCATTGATCTATACAAGGCTGGATGGAGTAGTCTCTTTATAATGGCGGCATTCTAATAGGTGAGCCACCATCACATTTCCTGTGAAGGGACGAACAGTTAAAACCATGCCTTCTTCGGGATTCGAACCCAGGCCCTTCGGCATCGCAGTCAGCTTCCCTGACCACTATACCGACTGGACGGCTGATAAACATAATTGATTTCAAATAATTCGCAGGGGCATCACCTCAGTAATTATCGTCGCGTAAAAGAAAAGGTAACAAAAAGGACTTAGAAGAATCCACAAACATGAGGGTTTCAGAGTGGGAATCTTTTCTAACCTGCAACTTAGTTTGGTTTATGTGATTACGGCAAAGCCTTGAGGTTCTTCCTAAGGGAATGGATGCCTTCTTGGAGGACTTTCTAAAGGAAACGGACTCGTATGCATGTTACACATGGTGAAAACCACGCAAAATGCCATGCAGCCAGCCCGTAAACGGGATTCGAACCTCAGACCAAACTACCAGTGTACCGCGACTTTACTGCTCGGCCGCTGGTGCATATTGATGGAAGCATAATTTATTTTGTTTTAGTTTATAAATATGAATTTAAAAAAATGTTTTCTTCATTTCTCTTTTCCAGTGTGTATTTACTGTACTTGCCTCAGATGACAAGTACATACAGTTAAGACGTATATTTTTTGAGAACAACAGTAGTTGGCAATATCATTCGAGCGAACCAATAGGAATATGCCCTTCGCCCAGGGCCGGAAAGCTGCTACGAATCATCTCGGAGTTGGCAGTCAACTTGTTAACAGTACTGCCTCTTGGGATCCTCAATATCACGTTCTTAATTCTCTGGGGGGGGCGGGAATTTAATGTTCTAGTGTGGCTTTAGTGTTTATCTGTTGTAACTCTCGTATTAATTCCCTTCCTTTCACGTATGCTCAAATAAAAAAATTCTGAAAAGATACAAAACATGTGAATTATTGCAAAAGTATTGCAATAGTTCAAAGAAGTAAAGACGCTAAACACTGGTAGTTCGGTCGGAGGTTCGAACCCCGCGAACAATCCGGCTGCATAGGTGTTTTCGTAGTTTTTCCCATGTCTAACGTGTATACGAACCAGTTTCCCTTAGAAAGACCTCCACGAAGGCATCCCTTTCTATTAGGCACACAGCACTCGAGTGCTTTGCCGTAATCAAATACACCAAACACCATTTATTAAATTTCATCACAGTTAGAAATATAGTAGCAATTTTAAAATTTGCTTTCTTAAATATTTTTTCATTAAACACATGTTCCATATTAATTCAGAAGTCAAACAACAAAAATCAGCGTTAATTTACAAAATTTTCACAGGACTAGTTTCGATGGTTTTACCGAACCATCATCTTCAGCTGCAAAACCGCAAATGAACAAGATAGGAAATAATGTTTAGATAAGATAAGAAAGCCTGGACAAGAATAAGCAAGTGGCGCCATCTGTTGGCG